CGCCGAGTCATATCAAACAACGCAACGAGAAATTCCTGCATCGCTCATTTCATCGTTTTGGGTCTATCTCGCGAAAAAGTTGCAGAAAAAGAAATTTGTTCACTGCCCATTCTTTTTTCTCCGATCTTTCGGTACTGTTATGCACCGCTAGCACACGCGTACGCGATAACTCCCCGCGTGAATACTAATTGATTACTGTAATATACGATCGTCTCCTTCCGTCGCGATTACCGTTTCTTCGTTTTCATGTTGAAAAAGAGAGAGAGACAGAGACAGAGAGAGAGAGAGAGAGAAAGACAGAGAGACAGAGAGACAGAGAGACAGAGAGACAGAGAGACAGGGAGAGAGAGAGAGAGAGAGAGAGAGAAAAAATTATGCAGATTATTATTACGCGATGCCGCTCAGTACAACAAGAATAATTACTTTAAGAAGAAGAAGCCGCATCTTCGTAAACACGAATGTTAATATTTTCCCAGGACCAACCAATTTAATTGTAAGTGTTAGTGCCTACATTATCTGAAGCTTAATCGCTTCCGATAGCAACAAAGTATTCAAATGCGATAGTTAGGCTACGTGTTGATTTTTTGCCTCGTCGTCCTGGAGTTAGCACGTAGGACCATGTCGATTCTGCGCGTTCGATCCTCGCGAGAGCTTGAACGCAACCGCGCAGAAATGTAATTATTCATCTCGGTTCTCATCTTAACACATCGCGGTAATAGCCACAAATTATTGTAATTTCGATCGTAAATTGGCGCAATTTACTGCGTTTCTTCTCGGTAGCGCAACGAGATAGCCGCTTGTCCGTCCGAGAGAAATAAAATATCGTCAGAAATCGACTGTTATCAACGAAACCGGTCATCGAGCAGTCGATTGCTGGTTTTATCACTGCAGAAAAATGGGGAGCAACAAGGCAAGCGAAGGGAAAAGGAAAGAGCCGAATTTTTCTTAGGTTTATCATCGATTTTTCTCTATCTTGAGGAAGGTTCGAATCTGAAAACAACGCGGCGTTTTACGGCGCGATGGACTCGTTACTCTTGAGAGGATTTAGGCGCGTTAACGGGAATGCAAAAACGAAAGTAAAGTGGCGGCGCGGTAAGGTAAGCTTGTCGGGCAAAAACCGCGTCGAAGATAATGGAAGCAAGATAAGAGAGTAGGTCGAGTGAATCGGGTCACGAAAAATCGGTGGAAAATTAATCGACTTGGTCCTCGGCGAATTGAATAACGAATCGAATTACGAGTCGAAAGGTATGCAAAAGCGAGAGACTACGCGTTGAAGGCACACAAAGGAGAAGAGAAGGTCGGAGATCACGGATTTTCCTCATCAATCGGGAGGTCATTATCGGTTATCTCGCGGAAATCTTATCTAATCTTGCAAGAGCTGGAGGAAACGGCGCGTCGAAGAGTGCACGAATGGCAACGGGGGTAGTCATGGTAATATACCAAGCACGTTGTAAAGAAGAAAGAGAAAGAAATAGTGGAAGGAGGAGGAAGAAGCGGAACTCTCCCAGGATCGACGGGAGGATCAGAGGTGTATGTAGTACCTTCTTAAGTTTAATGGTCGAAGAGTGCAGGAAGAAATAAGGAGGGAGAAATAAGAAACATCGAATAATAAGGAAGGATAGAGGGGCGCGCGAGAAGAGACGCGGAAAAAACGGAGGAAGAGGGCCAGGTTCACGGACCTCGGGCCGAGATCGAGGGATTAGCGAGCGCACCACATTTGAAGCTGATAATTATGCCCGATAATACGTGAGTGTAGCCGCGAATAATCTCGGGCGGGGTTAATGTGCGAGGAAGATGCACGCGATCGGGACGGACGGGTAGGGCGGAAGGGGGAGGGGCAGATAATAATACGTGAAGGGTTTCTGCTCTGTCTTGACATATTTTGATTGATTTGAAACTGACCTCGCCAACATCGATTAATTTCAGCTTCAGGTTAATTAACCCTTTTTGTTTGGAACCAGAATTGAAAAAAAGACAAAAAGAGTGAATTTAAAATGTTTTCCGAGTCTTCCTCTCAAATTTTTGAAAATTTTTTACATTGAGATAAAAAGAAATTCAGAAGAAGAAAGCGCTCAAGTTTTCTCATTGCAAAATTTTCTTTGCACGTTCAATAATTTTCTAGCAGTCAATTTAGAGTCAATATATTTTTATAGCTTTCTAGCAGAACAATGCAGGTGCGGAAGTGTAATACTGGATTGTCGCTTCTGACGACGGTGACCAAGCCGAGAAAAAAAAAAAACCACGCCGCCATGGCAGGAAGAAGGGAGGAACAGTGGGTGAAGAAAGATAAAGAAGAAGAGGAAGAAGTAGAAGAGTGGTAGCCAGCTCGGCGGGGAGCGACGGCCGAGGAAGAGAAGCTAAGGTCACGGACCTCCTTCTCTCCGAGATCGGCAGAAGATCGGCCGCGGTTCGCGCCTTCGCTATCTTCGCAAGACTTCGCTTAAACCTGCTAATGTAAAAGACCGCCGTGTGCCTTCGTAGCGATGTTTAAAAGCGACACGTTGCGCAGTCACGTAATTTACGCGTTAACTGCGCGCACGGAACACGACTTGACTGACCGACGTTGCATAAAGCCCGCCTAGATAAGGGTCTGCGCCCGGGGGTGACGACCGGCAAAAGGGAAGTCATTAATTCGTAGCACGTTTCGTGTCAAGGGTGACACTTCGCGAAAAAAAGTGGAAAATGACTCTTTTCGCCATAGAAACGTAGAAAAGGGCGACGACATCCTCGCGTCGCAACTGCTAGTCGTTGGCGAGCCAGCGAGTATGCTGATGAAAACGAGTTGTCGCATATTAAGTAGACAGAACAATTTCAACGAGACGAGAAGAGAAGAAATTCTGTCGACCGTCTCTCTCTCTCTCTCTCTCTCTCTCTCGCGCGGTAGCCGCTTCGTACGTGATGTGACTGTATCGCGTGGATAAAGATGAAAATCGACGCTTGAGAGGATCGAGATTATCTCCTTTCTCTACGTTTTCTGACATCACGTAACGAGAGACTGATGGTCCCGCGGTTAAAACATCGCCAACATTTCCGCGCGGTCTTATACACGCCGGTGTCATTTCGTTCCGTCCGGTCGTCTCGGCGGAAACGACGCGGCGCGGACTTGCCGAGGACTTGATCAACGCCTGTCAGACAGTACCTGCTAATCCTCCGTAGTGCTGCAATCCCTGAGCTCGGTGAGCGCAGCGGACTCCCGACCGGCTGCCGCTGAACATCAATTTGTCTGCCGAGGTAATAAAAGGAAACGCGCTAGTCTCTCCCCGGCGTGCACTTCCTGATGCAGGCGCGCTGGCCTACAATGTATATTAAACATTCTACCAGTCGTTCAACGTTCGTCAGCCGTCGCTTGTTTAACTTTGCCTCTTGCGAGCGGGAACGGCTGCTGCGGAGCTTCCGCGCGGAACAGACGTTGAAGCCGTCTTTTCTCTGCCCGATTTCTGGGATATCGCGTCAAGCGATCAAATAAGCTGCTGAAAAAATTCAACTGGGCGTTATTTCTCATTGAATTATCTTGGCTACTAGTTACGTTATTTATCCTCCTTTATTACACGGCATTAGCTCCATGTTGTTTCATCACGATTATATAAAATCATATAAAGAAACAAAAAAAAAAAACTATGAAGAATATCGCTCGCACAAAATATATTAAATATAAAAATGCGTGAAATAACATTTGTACTGTTAATTTAATATTGCTTCTCTTTAATCAAGGGTATATCTATCTAAAATGAATACAGAAAATTAATGGAACCAGACATGTTCACAGAGCATTATTAAAACGTCACAGCTTGCGATTGTTCGCTCTGTCATTCATTATCGGGAATCGCGACATGACAGAGGTCTTGGTCGGTAGTCGTCGAAGGCCGGTTGTTTATTCCTAGATGCGACCAAGTCGGATGCATCGCGTGAAACTGCATGAGTTCACTTCTTGGGTGCCTTATCCGTGAGGAAAACATTCGCCACGTTCCCCAACAGTTGCGCATTGCGCACGTGACGATGATATTTCATAGTAAATTATTGCTCGATGCGCGCAAAGCTTGCCGCGAAGTGCGGACGTTAAGTGCGAGGAAAATATTGCCACCTCGCGTCGTATCTTTCGAGATTAATGTTGAATTATGCTCACGACGATATCCTCTCGGAATCGTTCTCGCGTCGCTTCCTACTTTGACGTTCGCGAAGACGTAACTCTTGATTACAAGTCTTGTCCTATGTATTTTTTCTTAAGGAAAAATTTTCTCGATATCACGGAGGAATATGTATGTGTGAAAGAAAACGCGATAGAGACACATGGATTATTTCGTGAATTATGTAAATACTTAAGCTCTTCTTCAACATCGGGGACATGTTCCTTTCGATATACGGCTTGACTGGGCTTGACGTCAGCCAATAACGGTGAAAGTACCTATCGTGGAGCTCCGCGAATAAACAGTGTCTAACCCAGTGGGATGTACATCACTGCGAATACATCTCCCGAGCTGCATTCTTCGCCTTTCAAGGTCGAGACGTTTACGATTTTATGGGGCAATTACAGTGGTATATTGTAACTTACTTTGCGGATAAGGCTAACTTCCATTCATCCTTCCATAAAGCAAAATCATAAATTGTCTTGAGAGTTATACTCAAGATATATTTTTTCACATTCTCGGCCGAGCCGAGAATTAATCCGCGCGAAATGAACAGCATATTATTCGTAAAAATATAAAAAAATGCAATAGTGAGAGAAAGGTTTCGGTCTCGAACAAAGGCTAATTTATTATATTAATATTTATATTAATATATATTTATATTAATGTCGTTTTGTGCTTATAGTATTGTAATATAATCTATCGCGAAAAACGTTTTATATAATATTTTCTTAAATACAAAAAAAAATGTATTTAAACACTTACTTTTTATAAAGATTATTCTTTCTTGGACAATATTTTAAATCACATATACACACATACATACATATATATTTTGATTTAGTTTCTTATAGAATATCTATACTTACATTTCAGTGCAAAGCAAAGTGAGATGTACCAAGCAGATGATGGAGGTGGATATAGTGAGGAGTAGTCCGCAGGCAAAGATATATCTTCAACAATTTAAACATTTTCCGGGTGAAATATCTCTTCAAATATTGTATACATTACACGCCGCACACAAATCAAAAATACATTTCATAACGAAATCCCACTTTTGCAGATGAGGCTTGTAAGCCGCAATTTCACGATGGCGTTGCCACGTTCAAATTATCATTGCTGGAACAGGACATGTTGCGATGCGGTATTACAAGAGTTCTTAACAAAGTCACGGTAATTCATACAATTTCATCGCAAATCTCCGTTTTAATTCTATTATTCCGGGCTATTATGTTCTATCATAACGTAACGTCGCATCTAAATTGAAATTTCTACATTAAACGTAATGTACCATTAAATTGTTGTATTGGAATTATAAGTTTTGATGGCTGTTGATGCAGGGTCAAAAGATGTACTATCATCGGGTAATAGTGGAGGAGCCAGCAGATTCCAGCAAACACACGTTCACCGTGAAATGCGTAATCACCGAAGTTGTCGTGGAGCCAGAAATCGCCATCGCGTCCAATCACACGGCGGTACGGCGGAGCGTTCTTCCGGCGGGCTTTCAGGAACCTGAGTAAGTCATCAATCATTCAGCATATTAAGTATTTGATATTGCAGCATACAAAATATCCGGCATTCGTCGTGACGCGAATGCAATCTCATTCATTTTGTCGTTGCGATAAATATGTATAATTCATCGTGGCACAAATAATAAGGTGCAATAAAGTTGGAGATTATAAGTTCTTTGAGCAACGTGTAAATAGAAGAGATCGCGTAAGAAGGTATCGTGCTAATGAGCATGATATTTATCAAATCTATTAGATAGAGTAGAGGAGCTTGACTTGGCAATCTCAACATTCTCGGACTGCGGCTTTTCATTTCTCGCCAGTCATCCGACAGTGTTAATCGCGTCGTACAACGACGCGATAGACAAGAACCTCTCACACTTCCTCTGTACGAAATGATTCCTCGGCATCCAAACGAGTGGTTTTAATTACCCGGAAGTCGCGCCTCTCGCACGGGTGTGAGAGAAAAACTTTTCCTCGTACGCACAGACACCTCATCTACCATTTTGGCGAACAATCACGTCCTGCCGGATCAACGAGCATGATTCGTCCTGCGATGTTTCTTATCGATCTGCGATATAAAGGACTTTCTATGAATAAAGCTTCAATCAGGAAAATTTATTATCGCATTAACTTTCCTTCCTGATAGTCGATTTATATTGGCAATTATCATGTTTGCTAAATGCAATGCGGGAATATAATTTGCCAAGTGATATACTTCTTCCGTTCATTCTCGAAGAAGAAAAGTCGGGAAGATATTTTATATCAATGTTTCTAATCTTAACATTTCATATCTTGACGATGACATGTAACAAATGAGTTTAAGATCACCGAGTATAACGCAGTAATTACATCGTATTCCTTTCGGTCGGCATTGAAGCATACTAACGTTATTGCTGTCATTATAAATATAGATCTCGTCGTTAGTTTGACGGAGCGGGAATTAACACGAGATATTATTTTTATTAAATTCGCATTTTTCTACGTAACACGCATCTACATTTTTTTAATCAAACGGTGAAAAAAGTAAAACTGGTTGACAAATCTAGACAGATATATATAAGGATGCAAAAGCAGACATGGCGGGGACGGCTCATCGAGGACGGCAATATTGCGCGGAAAATTCGATGATTACGGAACGACCGACCGGCCGATCCACATTCGAGTGAATAAATCGTCCCACCTGACCTGAATATAGCATGCAGAAGCTAGACGACTACGGGGGTTATCGTCAGGAGTTTATAATTTGCAAACAAGTCAAGATGCCGCCGTCTGATTTATGCAGATGAGGCTTGTAAGCCGCAATTTCACGATGGCGTTGCCACGTTCAAATTATCATTGCTGGAACAGGACATGTTGCGATGCGGTATTACAAGAGTTCTTAACAAAGTCACGGTAATTCATACAATTTCATCGCAAATCTCCGTTTTAATTCTATTATTCCGGGCTATTATGTTCTATCATAACGTAACGTCGCATCTAAATTGAAATTTCTACATTAAACGTAATGTACCATTAAATTGTTGTATTGGAATTATAAGTTTTGATGGCTGTTGATGCAGGGTCAAAAGATGTACTATCATCGGGTAATAGTGGAGGAGCCAGCAGATTCCAGCAAACACACGTTCACCGTGAAATGCGTAATCACCGAAGTTGTCGTGGAGCCAGAAATCGCCATCGCGTCCAATCACACGGCGGTACGGCGGAGCGTTCTTCCGGCGGGCTTTCAGGAACCTGAGTAAGTCATCAATCATTCAGCATATTAAGTATTTGATATTGCAGCATACAAAATATCCGGCATTCGTCGTGACGCGAATGCAATCTCATTCATTTTGTCGTTGCGATAAATATGTATAATTCATCGTGGCACAAATAATAAGGTGCAATAAAGTTGGAGATTATAAGTTCTTTGAGCAACGTGTAAATAGAAGAGATCGCGTAAGAAGGTATCGTGCTAATGAGCATGATATTTATCAAATCTATTAGATAGAGTAGAGGAGCTTGACTTGGCAATCTCAACATTCTCGGACTGCGGCTTTTCATTTCTCGCCAGTCATCCGACAGTGTTAATCGCGTCGTACAACGACGCGATAGACAAGAACCTCTCACACTTCCTCTGTACGAAATGATTCCTCGGCATCCAAACGAGTGGTTTTAATTACCCGGAAGTCGCGCCTCTCGCACGGGTGTGAGAGAAAAACTTTTCCTCGTACGCACAGACACCTCATCTACCATTTTGGCGAACAATCACGTCCTGCCGGATCAACGAGCATGATTCGTCCTGCGATGTTTCTTATCGATCTGCGATATAAAGGACTTTCTATGAATAAAGCTTCAATCAGGAAAATTTATTATCGCATTAACTTTCCTTCCTGATAGTCGATTTATATTGGCAATTATCATGTTTGCTAAATGCAATGCGGGAATATAATTTGCCAAGTGATATACTTCTTCCGTTCATTCTCGAAGAAGAAAAGTCGGGAAGATATTTTATATCAATGTTTCTAATCTTAACATTTCATATCTTGACGATGACATGTAACAAATGAGTTTAAGATCACCGAGTATAACGCAGTAATTACATCGTATTCCTTTCGGTCGGCATTGAAGCATACTAACGTTATTGCTGTCATTATAAATATAGATCTCGTCGTTAGTTTGACGGAGCGGGAATTAACACGAGATATTATTTTTATTAAATTCGCATTTTTCTACGTAACACGCATCTACATTTTTTTAATCAAACGGTGAAAAAAGTAAAACTGGTTGACAAATCTAGACAGATATATATAAGGATGCAAAAGCAGACATGGCGGGGACGGCTCATCGAGGACGGCAATATTGCGCGGAAAATTCGATGATTACGGAACGACCGACCGGCCGATCCACATTCGAGTGAATAAATCGTCCCACCTGACCTGAATATAGCATGCAGAAGCTAGACGACTACGGGGGTTATCGTCAGGAGTTTATAATTTGCAAACAAGTCAAGATGCCGCCGTCTGATTTATTTGCACAACGGTCGAACGTGCGCGCAGCTGCTGGAAAACCTGTAATGTAATTCAATCCGCGAGACCTATAATCGGTATGCTTTTTCCTCCTTTACGTCGAAAATCACTTGACGAGTCACTCACATCCCGTGCGAAACTATTCCAGTTGGTCTATGTTTACTCGAGAAAACAAATATATAGAATCAGCAACGAATAGACAGCAATTGAGATACGAAGAAAATTGTATCTGACATTGCAAAAAAAAAAAAAAAAAGACAAAAATTTAATCATCACACAACATGGGAAGATTATAGGAATAATCTAATATTGATCATGAAATTAAGCGATGTAATCAAACAACAACGCGTTTTTGTGTATTTACATTAGATTCGAATAAATTTTATTTTCTCAGAATTTGAGTAGACGTCGAAAAAATGTAAGGAAAAGAAATTTGAATGTTAAGAGCTGCAACACAAGTGACAGCTTCCCTCGAAATTCTTTCAATGCGATCAATATAAGGTTTATCGAAGAATTTAATAGCGGGACATCCTGCGCATAGTTAAGATACGCGGTGACATTACGAGAGTCGATTTTATAACGCCATAGAGTCCTTTGTGCAACGGTTCCTTTACAGATGGTGGAAAAGTCACGCGCGATTTTAACGCGTTGCTCGAAGATTGCACGAAGGGAGAAGGAGAGGTCTGTCGGTGGATCTCACATGTTCTCTCTCCCCCCTATCACCGACGAAAGCCGCTTCGCGAGTCGGACATTCTTCAAGTACCCTTCGCGGACAACGTGCTCTCGAGGGAACACGCCGGGAATTTTTATCGCGACCACCGCGCCGGCTGCCACAGCCGCCTAATTTATTGGCGTTAATCGAACGTACACCTTGGCATCGGATCTCGCGTGAATTCCACGGATTTCGCTTACCGGAAATACCGTGAAATCTTTATTGTTAGATTATCGCATATGGTGAACTGCTGTCATGAGTTTCCTGGGATCGAGTCACGCGATGTAGAGTCTCCCCATAACTGTTTCTACCTGTTGATGAAACTGCACGATTCCCTCATTGTGCATGTTCAACCTGCTCTGAGATGAATCTAGTTACTGATTTATGAAATACGATCATTCGATTAGTGTTGTTTCTTCAAAGAGAACCGCGGAGATACCCGAGGAATTTCTCGAGTTAATCGATGCTTCGGACACTCGGGTAATTTTCTTCTCGAGTGTGTGTCTAATACATTGCGTGTCTCCTCACAGAAATAAGTCGTGTAATTAAGTAGTTTTTACACCATTGTATCGCGTATACGAAAGGTCGTTACGAGTCAGAAAACGATTTAACGAAGCGCGCTCTGTGTGTCGGAATTAATAAAAAAAAAAAAGAAAGAAAAAATAAGAGAGAGAGAAAGAGAGAGAGAATCGCTGGATAAGCGGAGTCGCATAAAATAATACAAGTCATAGTTATAATAATGGTTAATGATTCTTGCGTTGGACACCTCGATACATTATTATCCGATTGCGTTCGCGGATGTATGAATTATGTGTTCGTGTATGTATGTCTTTTATTTTAAAACACGACTTACCTCCTATCTCGCTTCATCGTCGCCTTTGGCTTCTTTGCCGCTGGCAATTTCATGGTCTACCCATTTCAAGACAAACATTCGTCTTCATTACTTCATCTGTCGTCGTTACGCGATTTCGCTAGACGACGATCTATGTCGCTCGCCTCCGTAATCCAAGGCCGTAATGTCACGGAAGCGGAGAGATGAGTCTGCAGAAAACTGAGACATATATATCGGCTTGAAATTGATTTACGCGTTTGATGATCGCGACATGCATTACGGGGATGATTCTTTTTTTTTTTTTTTAATAAAATAGATCGCGTTCGCGCGGATCGCACGCGCATATTCCGTGATTTGCATAAGACCGTAAAGTAGGTCGAATCTTCCTGCGGAGATAACTGCGGCGACGAATAATCGCAGGTCATCGCGTTGTTTTTGCGCTTTGGTGTGGCGTGCACAAACTGACGCTCGATTAGAATTGCATATTTGGACACGCAACATTCATCATCGCACCGGCCAGGTGCTCACCCTCGTGACTTCATTTTGGAAAGTAGGCAACTGCGAATCTTACGGTTTTATGGTTCCATCAATGCGTAGTCCGTCGCGGATTTGCGACAATCCGATAGATTCCAATAATTCACAAGAGTTGAACGCGCAATTCAAAACATATGGCGTACATTACATCCATGACAAGCAAGCTCTTATAATTTTCTTATAATGGTTCTCTCTAATGGTTCTAGACTTAAAAGTTTGTTTACTTACTTTAGAGTGATCGATATACGTGAAGAAATTTCGGGAGCGGCGCCAGTTCCGATCCTCGGTGTCGGAGTGAGGCAGGGTGGAGTCTTGGTGACCGGCGAACTCAACGTTAGTCCTGGCACGCCGTTGCAGATGGAAATATTTTTGGACAATGACTCAGCTCCAATCTACGGTCTGCTTGTGACTTACATGCTGGTTACCGATACCAAGAAGCAGGAAGAAACAATTATTATTAACGGGTAATTGATCAGCGTCGTCGCGTTGCTGCGACGCTATAACTATTGAAGGAATATCGCAATATTTTATAACGAGTTTGATAATATATGAAATTTTTGTATGCAGGTGCTCCGTCGATCCATACTTGTTCGAAAATTTTAATACCGTGGACGGCGACTTCCTGACGGCAAAATTCCGAGCTTTCAAATTTCCGGAAAGTACTTATGTCCAGTTTCGTGGCACCGTTAATGTCTGCTTAGATAAATGTTCAGGGGTATGTATGATTTCATTCTTTCATAGAACGCGCAATACTATAAATTTAATATTAAATCTCTCTATTTATATATAATTTTGTTTTTTTGGAATTCTCTTTTTTTATCGTTCCGTTCTTGTAATATTTCCCGACGAATTTATAATGAATTTAAGATGTGTATTTAAATACGTGCTTTAGATCGAATGCAGCAATGGTCAAGTCGGTTTCGGCCGAAAAAGGCGAGCTATTGAGATGTCAAGCACAGACAAGAACAAATTATTCGAAGTAACCATGTCGACATTCATCAAGGTCGATTCCACGGATGACGTCATGATCGATCAAGGTAAGATTCATCATCCCGTAAAGTGAATGAACAGTTGAATAATTACCGTATATTCATCATGTTTATGGCTCTTGTTCTGCAATTATGTTATTAGTACTCTCGGAGTTCATTAGGAAGGGTAAGAACAAGACGCACACAAAGGAGAGGGCAGTAATTGCCGAAGAAATCGGGGAGCAGTCTGATCCGACGACAATTAGGACGCACGAGAGAGCGTTTCTTGCGGAAGAAATTAAGGAACAGTTTAAATACAAAGTCACCGAGGTGGTGGTCAATTGTTCTTCGTGTAGTACGCTGAGCTTGAGTCTTCTCTTGGTATTTCTTTGCTTCTACAAATTCCTGTAGAAAAAGTAAGATTCGTGCTTCCTGAGAAATAATTGCTAATTGTAAATAAGATGCATTGACATTAAAAGCGTGAAGAAAAATAAAAAAGTATCGCTTTTGAGAACTTGATAATTAACTTGCTCACTAATAAACAGAATATCGATCATGATGACCACGGATCATCAATTACATATATGCATAGTGGTGATCATATACATATCGATTGTATACAGTCAAAATGTGCCTATATAGAAGAGCATTGAAAGAAATTTGTTTTGTAATGCTAATATTCTAAAGTAGCGTAATTTCCATTTTCAAGAAAAAATTTGTATCATTATACAATATAAAATTATCCGCCTTAAAACACTTTGCGTGTGATATAAAGTATAAAGATACATTTAAGAAGAATTCAGTTATTAGACGGACGAATTCGGCAAAATTAAATTGTCGAATTTAAAATCCGGAAGAAGCTTAAAAAGTGAATACACTTTATCTTGGCGCTAATATAATAAGCAGTAACATATGATTTCTCCGCTTTGCGACCGCCGAATTTTCAATCATGTATAACACTTCAATTTTACTATATTTTTTTATTACGTATCTCAAGTAACTGCCGTATTTCTTGATGGAATAACTGCCAAAAGAAAATTGGCCTTTGCGAGCGGAGAAAGCGGAATACCTAGTCGTGCGACGAGGTGTAATATTGTAATGCGACTTAATTAATTATTTAGTAAGTAATTATTAATTGCGTATTTCGTAATCCCAGTCTAATTATTACGTAAATAAATGTAAAATAATTAAATAAACCGACAACAGATGTGATACAATGATTATTCCTTGACCATGATCATATAATTAACATTCTTAATATTAATTACTAAAAAAATTAGTTATGATATATATGGAAAATTTAAGGTATGCTGGAGAATTTAGACTGTATGTGATTTTAGTTCAATTTGTATATAATGCACTGAGTTGCTGTATCTATGAAAATATAGTAAATTTCTATAAGTAGGTAAAAAAAAAAAAAATATATATTTTTAGATAAATTTCTTAGGTAATGAGATGCATCCAGGGAAGGCATTATTGTAGATGATTAAAAATCATTTATAATGTAAAATATAAAAAAAAAAACATATATTTGGAATGTATAACAATAAAAAATATTTTCTTTATAAAATATAAAATATCTTTGGATTAGATATCAGATATAAAACAATATATAAAATTTAACATTAATATAGTACTTTTTTATACTTTCATTAAGTTTGTACCCATATTACATTCGGAAAATTCCGAATTTAGTGTCAGGTATAGATGTATTCAGACTCGCAGATAAGCTCAGGCCGAGCACAACTCGCGTGTCGGCTGGATCAATTACACCATCATCCCACAGTCTAATAGATATCAGAATAATATTTGTAAAGATAAAAAATTAATTTTTTCTATACACAATGATGATTATTTCTTACCTAGCACTAGAATAATACGGACTGCTTTCCTTTTCAAATTGTTTAATGATTGGATTCTTGAGATTCTCTTCTTCTTCTTGGGTCCACTATACCATCGAAATATATATATATGAATTTCTGTATATGGAAAAGAAACAAAACAAAAATTGAATAATACCTGTTTGCCTTCTTTCACACGTTGGTCCTTTGCAATTTGCACCAATACATTAGCTGCTTGCTCTCCTCCCATTACTGAGATTCTAGCATTTGGCCAAGAATAAAGAAAACGTGGAGAATAAGATCGGCCACACATTCCTATCATATATTGATATATTATATTTTTTTTCTTCAAGAAATAATTTAAATAGTTAGAGTAATAAAAAGTACCAAAGTTTCCAGCTCCATAAGAACCTCCGATTATTACTGTAATCTTCGGTACTTGCGCGCAGGCTACTGCTGTTACCATTTTAGCACCATTTTTGGCGATACCTCCCAATTCTGCATCTCTACCCACCATGAATCCTATATTGATGAATTTGTATGATTGAATAGAACGCATATTAAAGTACAAAATAACGCACTAATGACTTTATAACTGTACCAGTGATATTTTGCAAAAAGATAAGAGGAATTTTTCTTTGAGCGCAAAGTTGCACAAAGTGAGTGCCTTTCAGAGCACTTTCGGAAAATAATACACCGTTGTTCGCGACAATGCCGACAGGATAGCCGTAAATTGTAGCGAATCCCGTGACTAAAGTTTCACCGTATTGTGTCTTAAATTCATGGAATTTCGATCCATCCACGATCCTTGCTATAACTTCTTTCACATCAAACGGACGTTTCAGATTTGTTCCAACAATGCCATAGATTTCATCGACGGCGTGTATAGGCAATTCAATATTTTTATTGATTTTTACATCCATAGGTGGTTGCCGATTTAGATCTTTCACGATTCGACGTGCCAGATGCAAAGCATGAGTGTCATCTATTGCACAGTGATCGATGACGCCGGATTGTCTGGAATTTAAGGATTATAAGTCAGCATTCTTATAAGAGATCAATATAGTATCTGAAATAATTACCGACAATGAAGCGCAGCTCCTCCTAAATCCTCCGCTGAAATCTCTTCACCGGTTGCAGCTTTTACCAGCGGTGGACCGGCTAAAAATACCGTGCCTTGATTAGCGACGATAATATTTTCATCTGCCATAGCAGGAACATATGCACCACCTATAACATATGATTATATATAATAAACCTGTACATAAAATATAAAAAAGTAAGAATGTATCAATAATATAGCTATGACAAACCTGCTGTGCAACTTCCCATAACCACTGCAATTTGAGTTATTCCTTTAGCACTCATGTTTGCTTGATTATAAAAACTTCTGCCAAAATGCATTTTATCAGCAAATACATCAGCCTGTCTAGACAAATTTGCACCTCCACTGTCAACTAGATATATACAAGGTAATTCATTTTCTTCCGCAATTTCTTGAGCACGTAAATGCTTCTTAACCGATATAGGATAGTAAGTTCCACCCTTTACAGTAGGATCATTTGCTATTATCATACATTTAGTACTAAAAAGAAAGATATCTAATGATGAATGAAAAATGATATTAAAAAAGATTAAAATAGTAACTTTGTCGTTGGATTACCCTTCTATTCTCCCAATGCCAGTGATAATCCCACCTGCTGGTACTTCTTCCTTATCATACATCTCATAACCTGCCAGTTGTGAAAACTCTAAGAAAGGTGAATTTTTATCTAGAAGGGTATTTATTCTTTCCCGAGGTAAAAGCTTCCCTCTGTTTACATGTTTATCCCTCGCTTTTTGTCCACCACCTTCAACTATTTTCTCCACAGTGTTTTTTAATTGATCAATAAGGATTTTCATTTGTGCATAATTCTCCTGTGCAATATATAAAAAAAAAACAATATTTAAAATATTTATAAATAAATACTATATTTATTTATATTCCAATATACATGCTAGTATTGTATATTTATCGGATGCTAACAGTTTCATATACATATAAGTTTTATAAATTACGAAATATATTATTATCAGAGGGAGAGGGAGGGAGAGAGAGAGAGAAACGAGAGCGAGAGAGAGAGAGAGAGAGAGCGGGAGAGAGAGAGTGCGGGAGAGAGAGAGAGAGAGCGAGCGGGATTGATTGATTT